ATGGAATGCTGAAATATAAGTTAAAACTTTTAACTTATATTAAATATAAACTTAAAAGTAACGTCATCCTAAAATTTTCAAATGGTGTATCTATGCAATAAATGGTACCATAATACTGTGCTCCTATTTTTTATTTACGACTTCAGAATTTTTTTTTTTAAACATTTTGGATCTATTTCAGTCATAAACGATCGAAAAAGTCTATTTTTAACCAGGACCTTTTTTTTAAGTTAAAATTTGTTGCCTATAGTGTTATCATTTAATTAATAGTTGATCCACAAAAAAGCCGTAGTTAGAAAAAAGTTTTGGGGGGATGGGTTAATAAAAAACGGGTGCAACCAAATACATATTTAGTATAAAAGGCATTCCACTAAATGCCTTGACGTACGTAATTTACACTACGGCAAATATTTATTGACATCGAATATTGGAAATGATTAAAAAAGGCAACATAAATAGGCAGTGGCGTATTCAGGATTTAGCTCCGGGGGGGCTGGATCAACATCAATCCAGCTGTATCCAGAGCGAATTCAGCAATATATAATTTTTTTAAGGAAAATTAAAAAAAATTAAATATTTTTTTAAAACTTATTATTATAAAAGTAAAATGGGTAACAATTTATAAAAAATAAAATAAAATTTTAATTCGACAGCAATTAAATTAATTAATTTGGTTTATTGATATTAGTAGGTAACTAAAATTTTTCATTAATATTTTAAGTTTAAACTTTAATTTTATTAATTTTTATGTTTTGTTAATTTTTAAAATCTCTGTATAATATAGGGTTTTTTGATAAATTAGTTAAAAAACTGATTAGCTAGCTATACCTACTATAGTAAATTACTATTAGTAATATCCCATACCGCAATCAATCTTCCCAATGCTCCAGGAATATTCCCTGCTTATCTGAAATGATCTGGCACATTTCCAGAGCATTCTTTGGGAATATGTCTGAAACAATCCTTAAGAATCGTTTAGGAATATTATCTAATTCACTGGAATAATCCGGGGCATTTCAGGAACATTTTTGGGAATATGTCTGAAACAATCTTTAAGAATAATTAAAGGCTACACAACATTTAAGTAAATGTGAAAATTATTACTACCAAGACTGCAATGAAGGTTCGAAAATATTCCAGGAATATGCTTTATCATCTAGGAATATTCATTAGGAATATTCCATAGAATGATCCTCTAAAACTTCCAAACATCATCTAAGAATATTCCCAGTGAATATTCATTAGTTTAGTTGCAATACCGTTGCTTACGCACGCTTGATAACTATATATATATATATATATATATATATATATATATATATATATATATACCGATAGGTTAATAATATCAGTTGAAGATGTGCGTATCATACGCAGCGTTTGTGATGGCACAGCTAAACAATGATTAAAGTGGAACTGATCTAGTCAGTAACTAATAATGGCTGGTTAAGTTAAGTTGCTGGGTATAATTGGCCATAAGGGCTGGGAGTAATCCCCAAATTATATTAAAGTACATTCTCCTAACAATACTTAAGTCTTATGCATGCCGCTACATGGAATATTCTTTTTATGATGACTGGGTTAACCAAAAAGCGGACATTTAATTTAATTAATATTCCTGGGAATATTCTGGTAAGCTTGGAATAATCCTGGGAATATTCCTGACATATGCAGGGAATGGGATTTTGTAAACCTAAATAGATAAACAAATAATAAATATTATTTTTTCAGGACTGAAAAACTTTTATGAAGAAAGATATTGGACTATTTCGTATATTTAAATTTTTAGTACATTTTAACCCCATATTATGAATTATATCTACTGGACAATTAAATATTTGTAGAACATTATTTTTTATAATAATTATTATTTACAAGTTTTGTGTTTTTTTTTGTCCCAAAGTAACTACTGTAATGTAATGTTTATAAATAAATTAAAATTAAAATTCAGTCAAATTACTCACTATTCTCACAACAAGCAACCCGGGCCACAGCGGTGCCAAGAAGATACTTATTTAGCTTGAAACTTTATCAAGCGAGAGCGAAAAGTGCGGTGTAGAAAGGGGTGTAGCACGTGCCGCAAGCGTGACAAAACGGTAAGGTCGCTCCCGCCGAGGATCTTTGGGCGTTAGCGCACCTAGCAAACATAGACTTTTGTGCCAATGTTTGAAAAGTTAATTATTTGCGGATACGCAGTGCTGGAGCTACAGGGATAAATTTAGTCTTCTGGCTTTCTTTGATGTAAATAATATTATATATAATATTATATATATTATATTTATAACCTAAGATAGTATAAAATTTAATACTAAGGTTAATTGGAAAAATATTTTTGACTTGAATTCTTGAAGTTTTGACCGCTAGATACCTATTGCAAACAAAGGTATAGTCGTCGCGGCGAATGTTGCGTCATCAATATCGAATGTCAAAAACCGATTTCTCTACATACGGTTAACCTAGCGGTTCCTTGGATTATATACGTAAAAGAAAACAACAATAATTTTAATGTCTGTGCTTGGTTCAGAATATACCTACCCTTAAAATTGTTATAAGTTTAGTAACTTTACAGACCAACCGTTTTAAAGGGCCCAAAAATTTGTCTAAAATGTTCTCAGTGTAAATGGTTTAAAGTGTAATCCTAAAACACTTTATAAAACTTAATTTAAAAACAATCATAGGATTTAAGCCTTTTTTATGGCTGCTTTAACCCCATGAGCACTATACCCTGGCGAAAATAAAGCTTGCATGAAAAGTGTGCAATAAGTGTGTATTTGGAGTGCAAGTCTTTATAACAATGTGCATACACGCTACTTTGTGGTTTTTCACACTTTTTGAAATAATTAAGTTTTTTCACTCTTTATGTACAGGGTGGTCCACGTAAGGTGACCCATATACTTATCTCAGAAACTACTGGAGTCACAAAAAATTTGTAAAAAACAAATATTCACGAAGTAAAAAATATTTTTAAAATATTATATTTTCATTTATACAGGGTGTTCGGTTTTCCTTGGGACGATACCAACTTTCTTATTTTCAATGGAACACCCTATATTTTTTTGCATTTTTGGATTCTACACACTCTTTTAGGTATACTTTGTAAATATATTAATTAAGAAAATGTTAATACTTTTTGAGTAAAATGAGGATTTATTAAAATTTCTCTAAATGTAGACATTCGCTAAAAGTTAAAAATAACCAACTAAAAGTTATTATTTTTTATATTATGTAGCATTCATCTCTTTAATAATAAGTAAGCTATAAGTTAATTAATTTATTTTTTGGAAAATATTATAGAGGGTGTTTTCTTTGAATAATGAAAATTTAACTAAGGTAGGAATTGGAAAAAAGCTACTAATTGTGAAAAATGCGAATATTTTTTTTTCTGTTAGGTTTAGGTATAGGACATATATATATATAAAATGAAAGGTAATTACTTATTCTATCCAATTATGCAAAAATATATAGGGTGTTCCATTGAAGAAAAACAAGATTTTAAACTTTTAAAATCGCTATTTTCAACGGGACATAGAAAACACCCTGTATGATATTTTCCAAAAAATATAATAATTAACTTATAGCTTACTTATTATTAAAGAGATGGATACTACATTATATAAAAAATAATAACTTTTAGTTGGTTATTTTTAACTTTTAGCGAGTGTCTACATTTAGAGAAATTTTAATAAATCTTAATTTTACTCAAAAAGTATTAACATTTTCTTATTTAATATATTTACAAAGTATACCTAAAAGAGTGGGAAGAATCCAAAAATGCAAAAAAATACAGGGTGTTCCATTGAAAATAAGAAAGTTGGTATCGTCCCAAGGAAAACCGAACACCCTGTATAAATGAAAATATAATATTTTAAAAATATTTTTTACTTCGTGAATATTTGTTCCTTACAAATTTTTTGTGACTCCAGTAGTTTCTGAGATAAGTATATGGGTCATCTTACGTGGACCACCCTGTACATTGACATCACGCTTTTTATTTGTCATATGTCACGCTTATATTACATTATATTTTAGCACATTGTTTGCACAGTATTAGTACATTGTTTAAAGACATTTTGCAAAGCTTCAGTCTATCTTACGCATGTCACATTTTATACACACTGTTAGCACGCTTTAATATTTCTCATTTATGACGCTTATATTACACCTTTTTATAGCACATTGTTTGTACAGTTTTAGCGATCACTCAACAGTTTAAGCACATTTTAGATATATCTGGCTTGAGTTGGGGTACAACATTTATTTAAAAGGTGAGGTAGATTCCATCTTATGTATCGCTTCTCGGCCTATTGCTAAGATCAAAGCAACCCCCTTCGTGGAGTTGACAGTGCAGGTATTTTTCTTAATAAAAAACAGTATGTAGGACCTACATTGTGGGTATTTTTTTTTTTTAATTTTTTTGAAAAAAATATTTGTTTGAATAATATTATTATAAGGATATTTATATTATATATTTATATTATATATACACAGGTGGCAAGAAACAGTGTGCAAACAATGTGAAAAATCAAAAGGAGTTCCATTTAGAACATTGTCCAGTGATTATTCACTTTTAAATTTTTGGTTTTGCACATTGTTTCATGTTCCATTTCCCACCCTACGCACATTGTTCTCAAATATTTTTGCACACTTTTTGCACATTTTATTTTCGCCAGGGTAGAACCAAAGAGTTTTAAAATCTCATATTAATTAATGCACTTAAAACCGTATTAAAAGAAACTCGTTTTATCAAATAGTTTTAAAATATTTTATAAAACATTTCTTTAAGAGTTTTTTATCCTGCAGTCTCATTAGAAAAATATATTGCCTTAATAAAACAGTGTGTCTTTTTTGTGCAACAATAAAACCATATTAAAACCATTATTAAAACTATCTTTCTTAAAAAATGTTAATTGGGTAGGTATCTACGTATAATTTAAACAATTTATGCTATTTCTTTTTATCTGCTTTATTGGTAATATATTATTTCTATTATCTAATGTGCCCCCTAATTTATTCAACTACGAATGGATATATATACATATACCTATAAAAATAGTTTTATAAATTTAACAATTTCTTTCATACATTTAAACCTAGAAAAAAGAGTTATATGCAAACTAAAGATGGTGCTAATAAAAATTTTCTTTATTATATTTTTATTTAAATCAGTAGTAATAGCTAAACATAAGGTAGGTAATAATTTTATTACTTTCAATTTGTTTTGGTAGTAGTTTATGGAATTAAATTAATTAAAATATTAATTTTGTGATGAATTATAATGTAACATTATTATCATTTATTTTTTTAGAATCGAGATAGTTCGACTGACCCCGTAGTTACATTGGAAGATGGAATATTACTGGGCAAAAATGAAAAAATTCCTTCAAATAAAACTTACTATTCATTTGAGGGTATTCCTTTTGCTAAACCGCCATTGGGACAACTAAGATTTGAGGTTGTTTATAAAAACTCATTTAAATATTAATCTAAAAATAAACTTTTAGCCACCTCAACCTAATGAAAAATGGAATGGAACCCTTTTGGCAAAAACAAATAAAAGTAGCTGTATACAATTTAATGGCGATGGATCTGAGGATTGTTTATATCTAAACGTATATACGCCTAATCTAACTCAAAACTTGCCTGTTATGGTTTGGATATATGGTGGAGCGTTTATTAACGGTGATGGTTCAAAAGAACAGCAAAATCCTGAGAATATATTAGAAGAAGATGTTGTTGTTGTTCATATAAATTATCGTCTGGGAATTTTCGGGTTTTTAAGCACCAATGATATGGCTGCCCCCGGTAATACTGGTTTAAAGGATCAAGTATTAGCTTTGGAATGGGTGCAGAAAAATATTGCACACTTTGGTGGAAATCCCAAAAATGTAACAATTTTCGGAGAAAGTGCCGGGGCTGCTTCAGTATCCTATTTGGTACAGAGTAATTTAACTAAGGGGTTATTTCATCGAGCTATTATACAAAGTGGGTCATCTTTATGTCTTTGGAGTTTAAGTAGATATGCAAGAAAATTAGCATTTGATGTTGGGGAAAATCTTAATATATATACTTCTAATTCATCAAAATTGGTGGATGAATTAAAAAAAGTTAAAGCATCTGATCTTCATTCTGAAACAAAGTTAATTTATAGTTTGGTAAGAATAATACTAGGTTTCCATAATTTAAAATTTTAAGTTATTTTTAATTGTTAAAAATATTTTTTATCCAGAATATTGCCACAATAAACATACGAAATGGATTACCAATTGGACCGGTTATGGAACCTGATCACAAAGGGGCTGTTTTTTCTAACAAAAGTTATGAGCTGCTTTCCAAGGGTATTTTTAATCGTGTCCCCTTAATAATTGGACATACTTCGCAAGAAGCCCTTGCAGCTGGAGATCTTCCATGTAATGACAAATATTCTGCCAAATATTCTGAATCCATAATTTATTTAATAATATACATTGTTTTAGTTCTTGTTAAATTCTTGCTTGGGCATTTTACTTCAAATAGAGAAAACTTTACACCAATCGATATGAACATAAAAAACCCAATTGAATCTTTATATGTTGGGTTAAAAATTAAATACCATTATTTTGGATTTAATTTAGTATCGCGGGATTCCCGTGGTCTTACTCAGGTATATTTATCATAGTTTTAGAAATTATTTAAGTAATTCGAATTATAGTTCCTTAGTGATGACCAATTTAACCGACCCATATCGAAAACTGTGGGACTCCAATCTCAGTATGTTCCAGTTTATTACTACGTATTTTCTTACGTGGGAAAATCGGGACAAGTTAAAAATAAAAAACTAACAGGTTAAAATAATCGTCTAATGTATATAACATTTAATTACTAATTATTACAATGTAGGTGTTGGCCATGCTGGAGAACTACAATATATTTTTACACCAAAATATGGGAATATGTCACAATCCGATATGTTAACGATAAAACGAACAGTCAAACTATGGACAAACTTTGCTAAATATGGGTAAGATTATAAAATATATGTGTATTTAGCTTCTATAGGTTCAATATGTATAGATTTTACCTAATTAATGAATTTAACTATTTGAGGTTTTTGATAAAAATAATATTTTATAGGAATCCCACACCGAGTAAAGATGCTTTATTTGATAATGAAATTTGGATTCCAAATTTTAAAAATAGCTCTGGAAATCTTAATTATTATAATATTAACCAAACTTTATCCAATGGGATTAATCCCAATGAAGCAAACATACAATTTTTTCAAAATCTATATAATAAATATGGCAACCCTCCTTATGATACTTATTAATTTTTACAATATTAAAATATTTATATAATAAATAAATAGTTTTATTTATCCTTGTTGGGTGTTAAAAACAAAATCATTTCTACTGGAGATTACTTTTTCCACACTATAAATATACAAAAAAAACCGCTAATGGAAGAGTATGCACAACAAACAGAAATAAAATGAAAACACCAGGTTTTAATTATAATCTGTTTACAATTAACTTAAATTATTATTTTTTTTATTTTTATAATATTGGAATGTTTTTATGGGTTCGCAGGGGATTTATGAACGATCGAGAGCGGTGTTGAACTTACTAGAAGGTTCGGGAAGGTGCTTGCGTGAACTAGGTCACGTACGCCCTGGATATATAAGGCACAGTGAAAACGTTTATATTTAATTTATTTCGTCGCGAGTACCAAAGCTTTACTAACTACTCGACTTTTCACTGAATACACCTTTACACAATAGTGATATATAAATAACTACTTAGTAGTTAAGTGATTAGTTAGTTTAAAGTTTTTTTCGTTGTCCGGAAGTCCATCCAAAAACAGCCAATCGTTGCAATATCAGCCTCGAATTCATTTGATCTCTGGCAGCGATACACATTCAATGTGTCTGGCCATATTGCAGTTCCAGATGTTTCACCAACGCGTCGTAATCTTTTTGTTCGTTGGGAAAAAGCAACTGCCAAATGTCCGTTGCATCCAAGCGTAAAGCAAGAGTCAATGATGTAGCCTTCTCTTCTGATAGCCAGCCATTTGCTTTTTCTGCTGCCTCAAACTGACAGATGTACCTAATTGTTCCAGAAAGTTTTTCCATCGAGCTGAAGTTCCGTCATCATCATGGGTAGATTTACAGTCAGTTTACTATATATCTTTCTAATTTTAACTTCCAATTTATCATTTAATTTTTCTTCTTTCGTAGGGAATTAGTTCTTAAGTCCTCAAATTTTTGTCCTACTTTCCCTTCTTATTCCATCGATTTTCACCGTTTGTGACCAGTAAATGTCCGCTTATTGTCCACTAAGACGCAAATAAAGTGTCGTACATTAGTCGACACAAGTCCGACAAATGTGTGGACGAAAGTCTGAATTGCCTTGGCACATGTGTCTTTGTACCAATAGCGGACGCAAAAGCGCGTCGCATGCATTTCGATAATATAAGCAAAATTACGTTCACATGCGTAAGGCACAATATGTACACCGGTGTATGTCACTTTGTGGACATTTTGTACGGCTCAATGTGGTCCCTCGTGTACGGCATAATTTTTGATTTTTATTTAAAAAAACATGAAATATTTGAAAAAGTTTATCAAATAAAGTACTTATAATTCATTGGTACAAAAATATGAAAATCCTCATTATTTTTGTAAAGTCTTGCAGAAATTCTTGAATGCCTTTTTACATCTTATTTTTTTCATACAAGGGACTTATTTAGTAAGAAAAACGAGATCTATACCCCTTCCAAATCTGCGAAGATGTTCTTCGTTTCCGCTGTTAACATTAAAAAACATTAACATGTAAGTATAAATTAAATATGCTAACCGAAAACTGCTTTAGGTACATTAAAATTAGAAATAGTTTCTTTTATTAAATTATCCTATTAGTTGTTTCTTCGTCCGAATTGTTTCCACGCTACATTGAAAGCGATATTCTTGCAAACAGCCGAAAGATACAGACATATTTTGGTACTTACTTGATAACCAGACGACTAGGTTGTGATACAGTTATACTTATTTAAAATTCACAAACACCGTATAATCCCCCAAAAAACTTCGAACACTTTTTCTTGACATCTGTCGCCATTATGAATATAGTACCGCTTACCATGCACTGGAGCCGCTGTATACTTTGGAAGTCCCAATTTGGGAATCCAGTGTGGGACACGTTCCTTACACATGTGATTGAACACGACATGTAGGTACCTACTCAAATGTGCTGGCCCATTTGGTCGTTTGCGATCATTTTTTGTATCAATGTTTTATTTCTTGAAAAAAAAAAATCTAAAATAGTTTATATACCCTCTTCCGATGTGTCCTGTTTCTTAAAAAATATTTTAATCGTTGCATATATGCTCAATTTCTTTTAATATAAACAATGTTTATTTATTAAGCATTTCTTCAAAGAGACGCAATTCAATCGCGTGTTCGCGTACAAATGCCTTCATTTTGGGGACTCAGACACAAATTGTTTGTCGGATATCCTTACGTCGTCAACTTTCTGTCCCACTTTCTCTTTTAATTCATTGGCATTTTCTGATATCTTCGGTTCCAAATTTTCTTTTAAATTTTTTGAATTTTTTGTTGAAACTCGTTAGAATTTTCCACAATTTTCTGTTGTAAATCGACTTTCAGATCATTAGAATTTTCTAGAACCTTTTGTTGAAAATCGCTAGAATTTTTTAGAATTTGTTGTTGTAACTCATTAGACTTATTCAGTATTATCTAATGTAAATCGACTTTCAGATCATTTAAATTTTGCAACATTAAATGCATTATTAGTAATACTCCAATCATAAAGCAAATTTAGATTCCTTTGCAGCCTCCTACAGTCATTAATCTTCATTACTTCACGATTTATATTTAATGTCCTTTGCAATCAATAATGTATTAGAATTTATAGATTTATTAATGTCATTAATAAACAAGAGAAATAAAGGGGGGCCAAGGTTTGACCTCTGAGGTAGCCCTAAGGAAGCTACTAATGGAGATGACCTAACTCCCTGGTATTCCACATACATATTTTTGTTAGTGAGATAATATTTTAAAGCAAGATTAAATAATTCAATCTTAATTTAAAATTATTTGAAATACCGAAACGACTCAATTTGTTAAGTAGAATATTATGAGAAACTCTATCGAACGCTTTACTAAAGTCAGTGTATGCTACGTCAGTTTGGCTCCTTCTATCTAAAGTATTTAAAACATCTTGTGTAAATAGAGACAGATTGGAACTGGTACTACGACCCTTAATAAAGCCGTGTTGCGGCTCTGCTAATAAAGGAGTTACATGAAACTATAAAGTATCACCGTTGAGTAAAGAAGTCAATGGTATCACACAAAATAATTTCTAGTAGCTTAGAAAAAACTGAAATAAGTGCTATTGGTCTGTAATTCTCTATTGAATATGAGAGAATTACTTACTTTTACAGTTTGTTTAAATTTTAAACTTTAAATTTTCTCATATCATATTTATATTTTCTTAATTTGAATTTAAGTTTGACATCGTTACATTTTTAATAACCGCGGTTAAATATTTATGGGTATCTGATATCCAATAAACAAAACATTGAATATTTATTTAAATATATGATTATTCAAATTAGTCTAACAAACTTTCCGATAATCAAATATTAAAATAATTAAAATTCAACTATTTTAATTATTCAACTGCGTGGAAATTAACGGCTAAGGAAAAAAATAACAAGGGCCTTCATACCCAACAAAGAGGCATTTCTTATCAATAAGAATGGAATCCTTATCGATAAGCGTCGAATAAGGAAAAATCAGGTAAATAATTTAAATAAGGGGCCGTCTATAAATCTCGCGACGATAAAAATGGGCCAAATTGATTCCTTTCCTCTCCATCGTGACAGCATGTGACGATGTAAAGCCCCCCCAGAAGGGCGATGTGACGAATTGGCAAACTCCCCTACCCTTTAAAAATGTTTTTTTTTTCAATTCTTTTTTGTAATAATCTGACCAAAAATGGAACAAATAAGCAATTTTATTCGATTTACTTTGTAACGTGACGTTTTCAAAAATCCTCTCCTCTCGAGCGCGACAAATCGTGACGGTCCTCAAACCCAGCATCTTGATATTTAAATATAAATACGAATAAATATATAAGTATAAAAATTTTGAAAATTCCCAGGTTTAGTTCAAACCCCAGCACCGATACAACTTTTTTTTTTAATTTTAATCTACTAATTTGACTAAGTATATCATTTAGTATAGTTGGACTAATTACTAGTCTGCATTTTTACTATCACATTAGCGTCTTAGATTTTTAAGACATTATAAAAAAAAAACATTGGTTGGGTACAATTAAGCATTTCAATAAGTAAATCTGTGAGAAAATAGTGCCAAGTGCCAAACCGTTGGGCATAACGTCAAATAAGTGTGTCACCATGCTTTCTCCGATGATTAAATCATGGTTTCCAGAGGAATTGATATGCGTCTGGCAAATATCGTCCTTCTGGAACACGGGAGTGGATTCTTGTTTGTGTTCTACAAAGATACATGACGTGGGAGACTCAACTTTAGAGGTTCGGTTAAAGAATCATTTTTTACGGAACAACACAGAATGTTAACCTTTGCAAAAGTTCTATTCAATTATCTGATTCCAGATTAAAGTAAAAACAGGAGTCTGGAATTCCAACTGCCACAGGTTTGATCAATTGATTGTGAGTCAACAATCATATCTGTTTTTTGCGACGAGAAACATGGAAGTATAAAGTAATTCAAGGAGCTGGAGCAACGTAGAAGTACCCTAGTGAAAAAAAATGCTTGTTTAAAAATTGGGCATGTTTCAAGTAGATTCAAAATAAGGTGCGTAATTTGTGCAAAGCAGCACGAGGCGATTATGTGTTCTAACAGGACCGAGCACAGATTAATCTTTGAGAAAAACAGTAAAGAAATTATGCTAGGATGAACCAGTGTAAAAAAAGATTGCGAACTACGTCTGGTGAATATGTTCCGTATAGATCAACGGTTTTACGCTGAAGAAGATGAAGCGAAAGAGCGTTTACTTCACACATTCTACGATGCGAGTAAAGATGCTTTTTCGGCTGTAGTTTTTTTTACGTGGAATTCGTGATGGTCAAGTGTACGTAAAGCTTCTGGCTGCAAAGAGTAAAATTATTCGGCAGGTAACGGTTGGAGCTGCTAGCGGCTTTGGTGGGAGCAAGGTTATATCGCGATGTTAAAGAAAATTTGAAATTAGATGCAAAAAGTTTTTCTGGAGTGACTCTTCAACAGTTTTGGCTTGGAACCGCAAAGAAGAGGAATGGGCGACATTCGTGTTTAATCGTGTGACAGAAATACGTTCCGT